CTGCCTCCCCCATGCCCCTGGTTGCAGGAGACCGAAGGGCCTGGGTTTACGTCTGGCTGCACCATGTCCTGGCATTGGCCTGGGCAAGCCACTGGGGCATTTCCCCATGTGAAATATCGGTAAGGACAGCGCGGAGCACCCGGGGTTATTGTGACGCTGAACATGAACTGCCCAGCGTCACCTTCGGACACCATAGGTGCTATCTCACAGCTGTTGTTACTAACAACAGCCCAGCAGATGAGCGGGAGGTTGAGCGAGTGCCAGAGGTAGAGGCGTGGAATGAGGAGGCTGCCCAGAGAAAGCGTGCGGGCGGCGATGTGAGTGCCACAGAAGCTGGGCGTGCAGGCCGAACTCGCCGAATTGCACACAGCTCGCCTTGCCTGGCTTTCTCCACCCAGAACTTAGGGCCCTCCCCAAGATAAAGGGCATTTGAAAAAGCCCCATTGGAGCCACGGAGGACCCAGAGGAATCTCCCAGCCAGGCCTTTTAGACGCTCCCCTGTCCATCCAATGGCCTGAGCTCAGCCAGATAAACAGAGACCTTGATCAGCCCATTTGCAGCCCCTTCAGGGGTCTTGGAGTTGGGGACTGGGGCTAGGGGTGTGGCATAAGGTCACTCCGCTTCATTACCCCCCAGGGCTGCCCCCTTTATCCAGGCTCTGAAGAAACCATCCGGGCCCAAACATGTGGCCAGCACCGTCGTAGATTCAGTATGTACACGCCAGGCGCCGTCCTCAGGGCTCTAGGGGCGCTGACTTGTTTAATTCTCAGAACCACCTTGTAAAGCACGTGCTGATGGTACCCATTTCACAGATGGGAAAACTGTGGCACGGACTGTTGCCGCAACTTGGCAAAGGAACAACAGCTTGTCGGTGGCAGAGTTCAGTGTTTAAACCAATGCAGGTGTGTCTGAAGTCTGTGCCCTTAACCTCTGCTCCCTGCTGAGCAGCCGGGAGAAGGCAGTCCGGGCTCCACACGACAAGCCAGGGCCGGGCCGGGCCCTCCTGGATGCCGTCCCCGCCCAGGTCTCTGGCCATCCTCTTCTGCTCTCTCTTGCAGGTATGCACTTGGCAGGGCTCCTGACTGTGCCCTGAGCCGCCACCCCTTCTGAAACTCTGGCCGAGCTGGACTCTGCAAACCTGCTTTCGCAATGGGTGGGTTGTGAGCGCTGGTAAGACCCGCTAGCCAGCATCGGCTTCTCTGCCGCCCCCGTGCCTGGCCTGTCCGGCCCATTCCTGTTCTCTTCTCCCCTGTGCTCATCCCTGTGCGCTGCCCCCGCCCCCGGCGCCGTCGTCTGTCATCTCCGGACCTTGCCGCCGCTCAGGTAATGAGGAGCTCTGGGCCCAGCCAGCCTTGGAGATGCCGAAGCGACGGGACATCCTGGCCGTCATCCTCATCGTGCTGCCCTGGACGCTGCTCGTCACCGTGTGGCACCAGAGCACCATCGCGCCCCTGCTCGCCGCGCACAAGGGTGAGCCCTCCGCCCCGGCCTGGTGTCAGTAACGCCGGTGAGCACAGCCCATGCTGGGGGAGTTCTCATTTCCACTTACCAGGCAGCTGGGAGGAGCCATAAGGAGGATGCAGGCCAACGACCTGACCCTTTTAAGGGGTCTTGGCCCCTTTGGGAATCAGGTGAATGCTCACACACACACATACTCTCTCTCTCTCACACACACAGAACTCAGCATCTGATTCCAGGATGGCAAGGATTGGGAGCACTCGGCCTCAGTGGGGGGAGAGGGATGGATGAAGAGGATCCCCGCCTGTGTTGTGTTTTAAAAACTCAAGAGGAGTATAGTCTTCACCCCTCTTTTCCTAGTTATGTTATCTGTGCAAGTGAGGGGGGGGGAGTCCCTTTCCCCACTGAGTGCTGGGGGTGGGGTCCTTAACGATATTTTCCGAGACGGGCCCAGGAGGAGGCGTGGTTTTTACTTGCATGGAATTCCCCATCGAAGGGTTTCCAAAGTCCCATTCCCCTCGGTCCAGTCCTGGAAGGCGTGCCGGTGGGGGGTCGGCAGCGCTAGAAGCAGAGTCGGTGTCCAGAGCTTCCGCTGCAGGCTGGCTGCAGTCCCTCCGTCCACTGCGGGTGGGGTGCACGGGGCTGAGGGCTGTGTGGGCGAATGCGGGGGAGCCAGGAGAGCGCGCCCCCTGCAACGAGACTCCCCAAAGCAGAGGAGGAGACCAAGAGAGAGAGCGTCTTTGTTCAGGGGATTAGGTACCCCAAATCTTCCCGCTGGCAGTGGCCACGCCCACTCTGGCCAATGACCTCTGCTCCCAGGCATGACTGACAGCACCTTCCCTAGTGCCCCAGCTTTACTGGGCATGCGTCTCTCTCCCCTTTGCAGGGCCCCGGGGCATGTAAAGCTGCAACTTCCTGGGGAAGCTGCCCAGATGCCATGCCTATGCTGGTTGGCCTTCCGTTTGCTCCTTTCCTGTTACAAATAACTAGCTAATTACAAGGGCATCAGGTGGGCATCCCTGACCTCTCCTGACCTAGTGACCCCGCCCGAGGAAAAGTCCCAGGAAGCACCTGCGGGAGAACTGGGCTCTGAGTCCCCAGCTTCCCCCTCCACGGGGCTGCCTTTCCCTCTGACACTGGGGGTTCCTACACCCCAAACCTTCCCTGTGTCCCACATCTGACCTGCCCCCCCATGCCTTCAGTCTGCTGTCAAGCTCTTCCCCCTGTGCACTCCGTGCACCCACAGACTCACACTCGAGGGCAGCAATTCTCCCACCGACATGCGCACAGTATGACACGGGGAGCGAGATAAACACGAAGGCACCCGCCCCATCTCTGTGTGAAGGACGAGGGCCCAGGTAGGGCCTGGGAATCCACATGTAGCCATCACCCCAAGTGACTGAGACACAGGCCATAGCCAGGAGCCACAGGCTGAAGCCGCTGCTCCCCACAGTTACACTCTGGCCCTGCTCGGTCCCAGCGGTTCTGGATGCTTCCGGCCAGGTGAGGAGGCAGCCAGCATGGTGAGGGTCGGACATGTGGTCACATAAAGCCCAACAAATAGCCCTGGCGGGTTTGGCTCACTGGATAGAGCGTCGGCCTGCGGACTGAAGGGTCCCAGGTTCGATTCCAGTCAAGGGCATGCACCTTGGTTGCGGGCACATCCCCAGTGGGGGGTGTGCAGGAGGCAGCTGATCGATGTTTCTCTCTCATTGATGTTTCTAACTCTCTATCCCTCTCCCTTCCTCTCTGTAAAAAATCAATAAAATATATTAAAAAAACAAACAAAACCCAACAAATACAGGAACTGGAGGTGCAGCCATGGACATGGCCGGCCGCATCCAAATAGCTACAGCGCTGCCCCGTGGAGAAGGGGGCCGAGGTCCCCTCTGCTGTGTGGGGAGACGGGGCTAGGAAAGTGGGGAGACAGACAGCGCCAGGCAGGGGCCTGATGGCTCTCCTGGGAGCAGAGGGCAGGTTTGACTAGGCAGATGGGCGCATCCCGCCCAGTGCCCGAGGCCAGGGCCCGCTCACACTGCCTGTCCCTCCCCCCACCCCCTCCCCTGCAGATGACGGCGGGGACCCCCGGCGCCCCGCCCCGCCCGGCTCGGACCCCAGGGAGTACTGCATGTCCGACCGCGACATCGTGGAGGTGGTGCGCACCGAGTACGTGTACACGCGGCCGCCGCCGTGGTCCGACACGCTGCCCACCATCCACGTGGTGACGCCCACCTACAGCCGCCCGGTGCAGAAGGCGGAGCTCACGCGCCTGGCCAACACGCTGCTGCACGTGCCCAACCTGCACTGGCTGCTGGTGGAGGACGCGCCGCACCGCACGCCGCTGGCCACGCGCCTGCTGCGCGACTCCGGCCTCAACTACACGCACCTGCACGTGGAGACGCCCCGCAACTACAAGCTGCGCGGCGACGCCCGTGACCCGCGCATCCCGCGCGGCACCATGCAGCGCAACCTGGCCCTGCGCTGGCTGCGGGAGACCTTCCCGCGCAACGCCAGCCAGCCGGGCGTGGTGTACTTCGCGGACGATGACAACACCTACAGCCTGGAGCTCTTCGAGGAGGTCAGGGTCACCGGGCGGGGGCGGGGGTGGGGGAGGGGTGGGAGGATGCGGGGTGGCGTGGAAAATGGGGATGCTCCCACAGCGGCCCTTTGGGTAGGGGCGCACAGAGAGGTCACAGGCGGGGCCAGGCTGGAAGCGGTGCAGCCTGCAGGGGCCGGACAAGGGACGGAGAGCCGGCTGTGGCCTCAGCGGTCCCCTGGTTAAAGGGGACAGGTGCTTAGAGCGGCAGGACCACAGACCCGCCTCAGCGGCTCGCCCGCATGAGGTGTGGGCCAGGGTCCTGTCCTGGGGGTTTGTGAGTCAGGGTAGTTTGGGGGGTAGGAGAGGAGGGTCAGACTCTGAATTGGAAAGAGAGGTTTCTTAGCAAGAAAGTGGCAGCCAGCGGGTGAAGAGGAGGGAGGGTCGTCCGGAGAGAGGGGTCAGGTTCCCTGCAGGTGCCCACCTGCGCCCCGACGTTGGTTCTGATGGCCCGTGAGCCCAGCGTGCATGGGTGATGTCGCCTCCCACGGGGACGGGCATCGCTCCCGTCGGCACTCCGGGGCCTGACTCTGCGTCCCCTGCAGATGCGCAGCACCCGGAGGGTGTCCGTGTGGCCCGTGGCCTTCGTCGGGGGCCTGCGGTACGAGGCCCCGCGGGTCAACGCGGCGGGGAAGGTGGTCGGCTGGAAGACGGTGTTCGACCCCCACCGGCCCTTTGCCATAGACATGGCTGGGTTTGCGGTCAACCTGCGGCTCATCCTGCAGCGCAGCCAGGCCTACTTCAAGCTGCGCGGCGTGAAGGGGGGCTACCAGGAGAGCAGCCTCCTCCGGGAGCTGGTCACCCTCAGCGACCTGGAGCCCAAGGCCGCCAACTGCACCAAGGTACGGCCCCGGGGAACAACGGCCCTGATGCGGGGTTCCCATGCCCAGCCAAACCCTCCCTGCAGGTGGGGGATGGGAAATAGGCCCGGAAACAGCCTTGCAACGAAGAGCCAGTCTAGAGCCGCGCCTTCCGAGAACACCGGCCCCGAAGGCAGTTTGTCACCCATGGGGCAGCCACACTGATGTCCAGCAGGGAGATGGGGAGGGTGGTGACCGGTGAGGCCGAGCCAGGTGTGTCGCCTCCCGCACCGCAGAAGAGCTGGGCTTCATGGCCTCCCTGCGATTACATGTTCATGTGTGCACACATGGACAAACGCATACATACACACACACACACTTCCTAGTTTGAGCTTCTGCAGTGAGGGCCTGGGCGGTCGGTCACCTGGCTGAGCTGAAGGCTCCTAAACAACCTTCTCCCTCTCTAGGGAGCCCTGGGCTGTGTGGCTCAATGGGTTGAAGGTCGTCCCGTGCACTGAAAGGTCACCGGTTTGATTCCCAGTCAGGGCACATGCCCAGGTTGCAGCTCAGTCCCTGGTCAGGGTGCGTGCAGGAGGCAGCCGATCGATGATTCTCTCTAAAATCAATAAAGACAGTATATATTTAAAAAAAGAAAATGCAGGAGAGCATGAGAAGCAAGAGGAGTCTTCGGGTTTATCTGTCTATTTTTTCTGTAGTTGTGCACACACTGTTCCCAACAGCTATTTTGAATGCACCCTATGTACACACAGCAAGAGGGAGGCGTCGGTAGAAATGAAGAACATGGGAGAACATCCTGATGGAACGGGGGCAGAACGGGAGGGGCAGGGCTATCCTTGCAGGGTCTGGGCGGGAGCAGGAGGTGGCAGGGGGAGGCCAGGGGGCCTGTTCCATGTTGTCTCCCGTCTCTGGACACGCAGATCCTGGTCTGGCACACGCGGACGGAGAAGCCCGTGCTGGTGAACGAGGGCAAAAAGGGCTTCACGGACCCCATGGTGGAGATCTGAGCCCCGGGACGCAGGTACGGCGGGCCGAGGGCCGCGGGCACGGGGCAGGCCCAGACCCGGTGTGGACCCAGAATCCATCTGCCAAGACTCTTCCTCCCGGTCTTCCATTGTGGGAGGACAGGGAAATGCCAGCATGAGGGGAAGAGGCAGAGCTGGCTTCCCCTTGCCCTCTCCTTCCCTTCCCCTTGCCCTCCCCCTTGCCCTGTCTGGAAATTAGCGAGAGCCAGCCTCTCCCACACAGCTGGGCCCTCTCGCCACCCTTGGGGGGCCTCTCCTTCCAGACGTTGCCTGGTCACCACCATTATTCTGGCCCTGACACCTGTCCCACCGCAGGCACTGCCGTGTGCTCGCTCCAGGCTCTTTCCGTGGATTCCTCTTCGCCGCCGTGACAAGGACCCTCACTCACTGCCTCCCCCTCATCGCGCATGCCCATGTGTCCCCCAGTCGTGACCATGGGGGGGTGCCATGGTGAAACTGTGGGCCCAGAGCCTGGTTCAGCTCCTGGCCTACCACTTTCACGGTTCCACCTTCCTTGCTCTAGGCTTCCGTTTCTGCATCTGTAAAATGGGTTGTGGGGGGCCCCAAGAACAGACTCCGGCACGTTCTATGTCCTCTGTAGGCGGTGCTGTTGCTATTTCAGTCTTTAAAGTCCTCTATGGATGTGGGCCTCGGGGTCTGCCTACATTTTAGAGGCAAAGGGGTGATGTTCAGGAAAAGCTCCATGGGATGAATTGGGCCGGGTGACTGGTCACGCCTGGAACTTCCTCTGGGCGTGTAGTTCTAGGACAGTGGTTCTCAACCTTCTGGCCCTTTAAATACAGTTCCTCATGTTGTGACCCAACCATAAAATTATTTTCGTTGCTACTTCATCACTGTCATGTTGCTACTGTTATGAATCGTCATGTCAATATCTGATATGCAGGATGGTCTTAGGCGACCCCTGTGAAAGGGTCGTTCGACCGCCAAAGGGGTCGCGACCCACAGGTTGAGAACCGCTGTTCTAGGATGTCATCCCAGAGGCGGGAGCTGACAACGGACACAGCTGGACGCCAGCCCAGAGTTCAGTGTCCGCTTCTGTGTCACGTTTGCAAGTCCCCTGCGCATCGGGGACCCCAGGGTGTCAGTCTGCCTGTTTTGTCCCCCGAACTTAAGACATCATCTGGGCCAGTGCCGCTGAGAGCCATCAGTACAGAGCCCAGCTCCCTGCCTCACGTGCCTCACAGCAAGGGTGCCACCACGGAGGGCCTGGCCGCTGGGCCAGGTGGCTCCTCAATGAGGCCTGTTGGGGGCTAAGGGTTGAGTCGCTTGGCCACACTGGCCGCTCGGACACCCACCTCACTCATTGCTCCTCCCCCCGTTCACAGGAGCCTCTTCTCACACCCTGATCCTGCCTTCCATCCTCTCCCCGTGGCTGACGGTCCTCCAAGGCAAACTCCAAACGAATGGCCATCAGCCTCCTTTCTATCCTGGGGCTTCAGAGAGCCCAGCCTGAGGCCAGGAAAAGGACGGAGAGCCTAAAGCACAGAAATCCCGGACGTGTCGTTCTCTTCCACCCAGCGTGGCAGGGCCCCGCTGCCAGCCCGGCCCCCGCCCTCCTCTCCGGAGGTTCCCGCACCCCAGGCCCGAGTGATGCTGAACAGCGGGGCGTCGGAAAAGACTCGGCGGTCACGTGGAGGTGGCCCTCCTGGCTCCCTGCTCCTGGGTCCAGCACGGCCACACCGGCCAGCCGGCCAGAGGAGGATTCTGAACACCAGACAGCAGGCCCTGCCCGGGCACCAGGGGCACCCGCCCCTCTCGGAGAGTTGCTCTCAAGTACACGTGTCTCTGTGGCTGTTCTCTAGTCCCTGTCTCCAGAGCATAAGTCCGTCTTTGATCCCAGCAGCGGTCAGCCCTGCAGGAGGGAGCAGGCCTGCCCCCAGGCTCCCCCATGCCCCGGGCTGTGGTGGGAGAGGAGCTCCTTCCTCCCCCCAGGCCCCTCAACCCTGCAGCACAGAGAAGCAGATGGTCCTCAAGCCAGCACAGGCCACGGGTTGGCCTGGACCACGACCACATGGGCCCGTCCCCCACGCTGCCACCCCCACGCCCACTGGGCGCCAGGGACCTTTGCCTGGGCCAGGACGGGGAGGGCAGGAGCCCTCTTCCTGAAGCCCTTGAGAGCCACAGACCTCAGGGGCAGGAGAGGTGGGGGCAATTCCAAGCCTCCTTCCTGCCCCTGGTTTGGGGGCAGGAGGGGGACTGCATTAGCAGAGATATTTCTGGGCAAGGGACCGAGATCATTTGGACACAGAGGGGAAAGGATACCCGAGCACACACGACGTTGGAAATAATTCTATTTTAAACACAACGTGGGAAAGAAAAAAATCTCACTTCTCCCCAGGTGGGAAGCCTGCAGAGCGAGCCGGCCCGAGAACAGTGCATGCGCTGGCAGCTCCCTCCGCCAGGGGGCGTGTGTCCGGCTCTCCCGCCGCCGCCGGACAGGCCCCTGGCTTTCTGGCTGGGGACAGCGCCCTCTGGTGGTGATCCCACTCCTCATGCTCCTGAAAGTCGGAAGCACAATTTTCCTCTCGCGTGGAGGGAAAAGGAAAGGCTTGAGCCTACGGAAGGGGTGTTTATTTTTTAACCGCTAACACTTCATTTAAACTCACAGGACCAGTCTGAGGACCACAGAGAACCCACTCCTGGGGGGGGGGAGGGGGTGGCTATGGGGGGGGGGATTGGACTTAGTCCAGCAACCTAAACATTCAAAAAAAATAGCATTGGTTGCCTGTTTTGAAACAGACGCAATTTTCCACGTAGTCATGAGCCCACCCAATGGGATCTTATCCCTGGGAACGCCGAGCCACCTTGTAGGGCATCCCCCCAACCTCTTACATGGTTGCTTTGGAAATCAAGCTCTCGGCATCACGTGGCGTGGGAGAGAAGGGACGAGGTGGGCACAGGCGGCCATCAAATGCGTGAATCCAGGCCCAGGCATCCCACTGCCTCCCCAGCCCTGTGCTCAGATGAGCTTGGCTGGTCTACGGCTACCTTCTCAGCCCAAAACAAAACAAACAAACAAAATAAAACACCAAAAAACCCCAGAAACAACCCAGGGCTCATCTTCAGGAAATTGATACTGAACAAAACGAGGCATTTTCTCCTGCTCCCTCTCCTGTATTACTTTGTCTGGCAGGCCTGAGTTGTTTTCGCCCCATGTCCTCTAGTACAGTGGGGCCTTGGCTTACGAGTTTCATTCGTTCCGTGATGGAGCTCGTAACTCAAATTACTCGTAGGTCAAATCAAAACGTGAACGAGTGAGGCACGTGATGCTGGGCTGATGTTGTGGCGTTCACTGTGACGTTCGCTGCGCCAACTAGCAGTGGGGTATCTGAAGCTGGCTCGTAGCCCGAATTTTAGCTCTCAACTCAAAGCAAAAAATCGGCCAAGAGACTGGCTCGTATCTCGAAAAACTCGTTATAGTCGGGACACTCGTAAGTCAAGGCCCCACCGTAGCTGCATGTGGGTTTATTTATCACTGTAGTCCTGGAGGACTGCAGCTTCCTTCTTTGCTGGGGATGTTTGTGATCGATCAGAATGTGGTCCAGGACTATACCGTTTGCTTCCCAAACTTCCCACCACAGAGGCGTGATGCTGGGGGCTGGGCGTCCCCAACAGAGATGGTGGAGGGCGGGGCCCGGGGCAGCCGCACCCTCGGGTCTGTTTTCATTAACTGTCTTTCATCTGTTTTTAAAATTAAAAGTCAGATACAGTTTTTAACATCCCTAATCCTCCTCGGCCCGGCTTGATTGCGTTCCCCTGGATTGCTTGAACCCTCCACCGAATGAGTATCTGCCAGGTGCCTACAACGGGCTGCATTATTCCAGGAGCCAGCACCAGCCTTCACGGAGGTCCCCTCCTCACGAGGGGACGCAGGTGGGCAGGAGACAGATCGATAGCATTTCAGATGCGACCTGGTCTGAGGACAAGCATGAGGCTGAGTGGGGGGCACAGAGGGTCGCTGTAGGGGAGACCTGAGCCCCACACAGGGTGGTCAGAAAGGCCCCCCAGATAAGGTGACATCTGAGCAGAAGAGCAGCATGCAGACGTGCCATTGTCTGGCCAGAGCCTTCCAGAACAGAGACCTCTGTCCCTGGTAGGAGAGAGCTTAGCAAGTTTCAAAACCAGCAACAAAGCCAAGGTGACTGAAACCGACTGGGAAGGTGGGAGGGGTCGGTGGTGGGAGATGGGACGGGCAGGACGTGTTGGTTGGTCCTGGGGACCAGGGTGATGCTTTTGGCTTCTACTGTGAGTGAAGAGGGAAGCCACTGGAGGGTTTGGAGCAGAGGACAGACATGGCCTAATGGCCTTTTAGAAGAATCGCTCCATGTCTGTGCTGACGAGAAGCAGAGAAGTGAGGGCGGGCTGGGGGAGGCGGCTCGGCAATGAGCCAGGTCCAGGCGCTGGTGAGCTGGAGGAAAGTGCAAGCGGTGGGGTGGAGGGTAGTTCGGTTCTGGAGGTGTTTGCGAGGGACAGCCAATCAGGAGGTGGTGGTGAGGAGTCAGTGCGGATGCTGAGTGCTGGCTGGGTTGCATGCACCTGTGCCCGGCTGCACGCTGCCTTTGCCTCGGGCTGACAGCAGCACAGACGGGGTCAGAGAACCACCACCACCGAGGGTTCAACTCCACTGCTTTATTGCAACTCATGACAGCGAGCCCGGCCCCAGAACAAGTGCCTGCATTGCGGACAGACAGACAACTGCGAGGAAGCCTGCCTCTCCCCGCTGCAGCTTCGTCACGGGAGGCGAGGGGGGGAGACTGAGCCGGCGGCAAGGTCTGCACGAGGCCTGGTACCCAAAGTTCCTGAGAGGTGACCCTCACCCCGCCAACCCCCCGCCACGCCCTGGAGCTGGGCCCTCTGCCCTTTCCCCCTGTGCCTCCAAGAGAGGTGGGTTCCTGCTGGGACCCACAGTCCCCTCCTGTCACTGAGTGAAACTGGACCTGCTCCCCATTTCAGGAGAACAAGGGGCTGAGATGTCTGTTTCTCTTCAGCCCAGCTTGCCATCCTGTCGGATGCGCTTACAGTGGGAAGGAAGAAAGGAAACGCGTGTCTCTCAAACGGGGTTCCTTCCAGGACCCCAGGGAAGGTGCGGGGAGGGCTGCGAAGAAACAACCGCCGCCCTGGCTGGTTTGGCTCAGTGGATAGAGCGTCGGCCTGCGGACTGAAGGGTCCCAGGTTCGATTCTGGTCAAGGGCACATGCCCGGGATGCAGGCTCGATCCCCAGTAGGGGGCGTGCAGGAGGCAGCCCATCAATGATTCTCTTTCATCATTGATGTTTATCTCTCTCTCCCTCCCTCTGAAATCAATAAAAATATTTTCTAAGAAAAAAGAAACAATAATCAACTCAGGAGAGACACCTCTTCACTGTCCTCTACCGCTGGGGCCAAGGCCTCTATTTCAGAAACAGAACGGGGCCCCGAGGGATGGGCCAGGCCGGCGAGAACGTCCGCAGGGCACAGCTGGGTGCAGCAGCCACGCCCAGCAGCCAGGCCTTCCCCAGGCCCTGGTGTCACCACAGGGAGACCCGACCAGACACTCACCCCAGACACCCATCCCTCTGCCCTCTCCCCGGAGAGAGGGAGTAGGGCAGTGCCATCCACAGAGCCCAGTCTAGAACCCCCTCAGATGAGAAGAGCGTCCCCCCTGGCCAGCCCCCCCACTTCTTTCAGCAGGGTTTGGGGTCTTTGAACCACAGCAGTGGGCAGAGGTACGGCCCTCGGCTCTCGGAGGAAACGCTCCTGATGGGCCCCCCCCCCCCATGGGCTGGGGGGGCAACCATTTAGCCCTCCAGCCCCCCCTTGAGGACGGGCGCCCCCCCCCCCCCCCCCGCTTCCCGCCACACGGCTCAGTGAATGTACTGGTTCCTGCCCAGGTGGGGTGTCTCGGTGAACTGTATCACAGGGCCTGCCGCCCTCTCCTCGAAAACAATGACCTGGGGAGAGAAGGGCTGGGGTGGCAGCAGCCGGGGGTGTCTTGGAGCCGGAGAGGGAGCCTGAGGCAAGGGGCTGGGAACTGGGCGGAAGGAACAGGGGCCCGCAACTCACCAGCGCCAGGAGGAGCCGAGAGGGAGCTGGCCAGAACTCTCCCTCTCCGGCCCTAACCGACTGTGGCAAGGGCTTCCCTCCCTCCCTCCCTGGGGAGCACGGTGATACCAGGAGGCGGGAGTGGGAAAGGGGCCTGGGAAGAAGGGAAGGGGCTGCAAGTGCTCCCACCTGGTTGATGCCTTGGTCCAACCAGGCCCCTGGGAGGTAGAGTGTCTCCTGGGGTCCGATGTTCCAGTAGCGCCCCAGGTTTTGGCCGTTGATGAAGACAACCCCCTTCTCCCAGCCCTTGGAGCAGAGCGAGTGTAAGTCAGACGCAGAGCCGGCACAGGGAAACCCCCAGGAGGGCAGACGCGCTCTGGGCTCCTCTCTCGGCTTCTGAACGGCCAATGTGACAGCCGGGAGATGACCAGGCGGGGTGCCCCATCTCTCTGTCCCAATAGCCCTGACTTCCCACCCTGGACGGAGGAACCTGGGCCCTGAGAAGTCCCACAGGGCAGCCCCTCTGCTGGGAGCCCACTCGCTCCCTCCCCGGGGAGGCCAGGCCCTTGCAGAGGGGGCAGCCCAAAGCCGGACGGTCCAGGAGCAGGTGAGAGAGGGCGAGGCCTTGTGGGGAGCAGCCCCTCCTCCGGGCTCGGGCTCAGAGCAGCTGAGGACGGACCCAGAACCTGGGCCGGGGGCAGCTACCAACCTCCAGCTTCATGAAGGTGTCCAAGGGGGAAAGGGCCACAGGCAAGGCGCCCAGGAAGAAAGCGGGGAACACCGGTGTTTCGGGGACCAGGTTCCACGCGCTGGAGCTGAATCTATGGACAGAACAGAAAACAAGGAAGCGAAGAGGGTACCTTCTCAGATCCGGGCCCCACCCCGCATCCCATTGCAAAGGCGCCAGTCCACGGGTCCCAGGAATGGCAGCAGGTGGTTCTGTGGAAATGCCCTCGTCTCCGGGGCGGGCACTGCCCCACCTGGGCACGTGGCAGGGCCCTGGTCTGCTCACAGCTGAGCGAGAGGAGGGGTGAGGCCGGAGCAGCTCCCGGGCCACCGGCTCTCTCTGCACGTCACCTGGGAGCCCACACTCCGCCCTCGGCTGGGACCTACCTCTGAAAGAAGCTCTTTTTCATGTCCAGGCTGTAGATTCTGAAGTTTTTCAGGGGAGAATTATTCAGGTAGATATTTCCAATTAAGCCTGTGGGACGGAGGCAGGGAGGGTGAGACACACCCGGCCTGGCCTCTGCCAGCCTCACCCAGGGGCAGTGTCTGGGAAGTTCAAGGTTCCTCCTGAAGTGCATGCCCCCAACGGGGCAGCAAACCTCCCCCATAAAGCGCTGAGGGGCTGAGAATGAGTAACCCCGTGTCTGCCAGGCCCCGGGACGTGCGTGAGAGAACAGGCCGAGGGCAATGACAGAGCTGAGAGGATCCAGCTCAGTGCTCACTGTGTATTCACCACAGGCATGTGGACACACACACAGGGAAGGCTAACAGGGAAGAGGTCAGGACCCAGGGGGGCCTTTCAGAACCACCTCCACCTCACTGCAGTGGCCCCCCTGGCCCCCCTCCAATGGCTCCCCATGACCCCCTCCAATGGCTCCCCATGACCCCCTCCCTCCACTGGGCCTCCATGGCCCCCTCCCTCCAATGGCTCCCCATGACCCCCCTCCCTCCACTGGGCCTCCATGACCCCCTCCCTCCAATGGCTCCCCATAACCCCTCTCCCTCCACTGGCTCCCCATGACCCCCCCTCCAATGGCTCCCCATAACCCCCCTCCTTTCAATGGCTCCCCATGACCCCCCTCATCTAAATGCCGCACTATAACCCCTCTCCATCAGATGACCCTACAATCACCCCCCCCTCAGCCATGGGGTTCTCCAATCCTCGCCCCCACAGAGGTTAACATGACTTCTCTCCCTCTAGGAGAGGAATGGCCCTGACCCTGTATGGGGCCTATGCTCCCGTCAAGTCAGTGGGAAATCAGTAAATTCGAAGGAAAGGAAAGGTGCTTTTCTGAGGCAAAAAGAAGGTGCACACCCCCTAGGGGACTTGGTTAGTGTTAGCATACAATGGTTTATCTAGAGGGTTGGTTATTTTGCTGCTAGTTATGGGATACGTTGTAGTGATTCCCCTCCGTTTTCTAACATATTCACATATGGTTGCCAGTGGCCGGGGACCTACATAGAAGGATTATTTTATCCATG